AGATACCATCTCCCTCCTGTCAGATCGGCTAAAATCAATAACACCAATTACAGTTTATGCTGAATAGGATGTGGAGAAAGAACAACACTCCAGTGCTGGTCAAAGTGCAAACATGTACAGCCACTTTAGAAATCAGTATGGTGGTTGCTGGGGAAAATGGGAATCAGTCTACCTCAAGATTCAGCAATTCCACCGTTAGGCATATACCCAAAGGATGCACATTCATACAGCAAGGACATCTGTTCACCTATTTTCATAGAAGCATTTTGTCTAACAGCCAGAAACTGGAAGCAACCTAGATACCCCTCAACAGAAAATGGATAAAGAAAAGGCAAAATGTTTACACAATGGAGTACTACTGAGTGGAAAAAAACAATGAAATCTTGATTTGCGATACCTTATATGGCATCCTAGAACCTTTATCCAGTAGCTGATGGAAGCAGAAGCAGACACCCACAGCTAAACCCTGAATTGAACTCCTGGAATCCAGTTGCAGTGTGATGAGTAAAAGGGTCAAGACCAGTCTGGTGAAACTCACAGAAACAGCTGACCTGAACAAGGGGGCGCTCATAAAACCCAGAGTGATAGCTGGGAAACCAGCATAGGACTGATCCACACCTCTGAATGTTGGTGTCATTTGGGAGGCCTTGGAAATCTATGGGGCCTCTGGTAGTAGATCCGTATTTATCCCTACCATGAAAATTGACTGGGAGCTCATTCCACATAGAGGGATACTCTCTCAGCCTAGACACACAGGGGAGAGCCTCGACCCTGACCCAAATGATATGATAGATTTTGAAGATACGGCATGGAAGGCCTCACCCTCCCTGGGGAGCAGAAAGGAATGGGAAAGGGGTTTAGTTGGGAAGGGAGTAGGGTAAGAGGGGAGGGTGTGGGAACTGGGATTGTCATGTAAAACAAGCTTGTGTCTAAATTGAAAAACAACAAAGTAAAAAAAAAAAAAACGAATCACAGAAACAAAAGCAATATACAGCAAGACAACAGCCAACATCAACTAAATGGGGAGAAACTCAGAATGATGCCACTACAATCAAGAACAAGACAAGGTGGTCCACTCTCCATATCTATTCTTTATAGTACTTGAAGTTCTAGCTAGAGCCATAAGACAACAAAAGGAGATGAAAAGGAAACAAACTGGAAAGGAAGAAGTCAATATTTTACTGCTTGCAGATGATATGACAGTATACAGAGTGGCCCAAATATTCTACCAGGGAACTCCTACAGCTCATAATCACCTTCATAATATAGCAAGTTATAAGATTAACTCAAAAGTGTCAGTAGTACTCCTATAATCAAACAATAAAAGGGCATAGAAAGAAATCAAGGAAATATCACCCTTTACAATAGCCACAAATAACATGATATATCTTTGGGTAACACTAACAAAACTAGACCTGCATGACAAGAACTTTACAACTTTGAAGGAAGAAACTGAAGAAGATATCAGATACTGGGAAGATCTCACAGGCTCTTGGATAGGTAGGATCAACATAGCAAAAATGGAAACCTTACCAAAAGCAATCTACAGATTCAAAGCAATAGCCATCAAAATCCTAACACAGCCTTGAAAGAACAATATTCAACTTCAAATGGAAAAACCAAAGACCCAAGATAGCCCAAACCATGCTTTAAAAATATGGGAGATTCTGGAGGCATCACCATCCCTGACTTCAAGCCCTGCTATGTAGAGCTACTGTGATAAAAACAGCTTGGTATTGGCATAAAAGCACACGTGTGTATCAATGGAATTGAATTGAAGACACCGATACTCTTTCATACACCTGTGAACACCTAATATATTAAGGAAGCCAAAATTGTACAATGGGGAAAAAAAAGAAAGCATCTTCGACAAATGGTACTGGCATAACTGGATGCCAACATGTGGAAGAATGCCAACAAATCCCTATCTATCACCATGCACAAAACTCAAGTCCAAGTGGATTCAAGACCTCAATACAAATCCAGATACATTGAACTTGATAGAAGAGCAGGTGGGAATTAGCCTTGAATTCCTTGTGCAGGGAACCACTTCCTGAATCTAACAACACAGACAATGAGAGCAACTTTCAATAACTATGACTTCCTGTAACTGAGAAGCATCTGTAAGGCAAAGGATAAGGTCAGTAAGACAAAATGCCCACCTGCAGAATGGGAAAAGATCGTCATCAACCTCCAATCTGACAGAGGACTGATATCCGACCTATATAAAGAACTCAAGAGACCAGACACCAATATACTAAACAATCCAATTTAAACATTGGGTGTAGATATAAGCAGAGAATTCTCAACAGAAGAAACTAAAATGGCCAAAAGACATTTAAGAAATTGTTCAACACCCCTAGCTATAGGGGAGATGCAACTCAAAATGACTCTGAGATACTTTCTTACACCTATCAGAATGGTTAAGATCAAAAACCGTGATGCCAACGGGAGGGAATGTGGAATTCTGATGCCAGCTTCTGCTGCAGAGGATGTGGAGTAAGGAAAACACTCGACAATTGCTGGTGGGAGTGCAAATTTGTACAACCTCTTTGGAAATCAGTATGGTGGCTTCTCCGAATAATTGCAATCTACTCAAGACCCAGAAACGCCACTCCTGTGAATATAGCCAAAGCAGGCACAATCACACCATAATGTCATGTGTTCAACTATGTTCATAGCATCATTATTTGTAATAGCCAAAACCTGGAAACAACCTAGATTCCCATCAGCCAAAGAACAGATAAAGAAAATGCGGTATATTTGCACAATAAAGTATTACTCAGAGGTAACAGACGAGGATATCTTGAAGCTTATAGGCAAATGGATGGAACTAAATAAAAATCCTTAGTGAGGTAACTGAGACCCAGAAAGAAAAACATTGTTTGTTCTCACTCATGGGTGGATATTAGATGTAAAGCAAAAGATAACCAGGCTGCAATATACAACCACAGAGAAGACAGGTAAAAGGGGGACCATAAGAGGGACACACATAGAAGACCCCAGGAATGAAAAATAGTTAAGAACTCCTGAGTAAACTAGGAGGGGTAAAAATGGAGCAGGAAAGATCAAGGATTCAGAGTAGGTGAGGGACAGACAGGAGAAGCAATGAAAGAAATGTCTGAATAGAGGGAGCCATTTACAGTTAGACAGAAACCTGGTACTAGAGAAATGCTAAGCAATCCACAAGGATGACCCTTTCTAAGACTACAAGCAATGGTGGAGAGGGTATTAGAGTGGGCCTTACCCTTTAATCAGATCAGTGACTACCCTAATTGTCATCATAGAATCTATGTCCAGTAACTGATGGAAGCAGATGCAGTGACCCACAGCCAGGCACTGTGCTGAGCTTCTGGAGTTCAAGTGAAGAGAAGGAAGACAGATCCCATGAAGAAGGACTGTCAAGAACATCATGGGGAAAACCACAGAGACAGCTGACCCAAGCTAGAGGGAGCTCACAGACTACGGACTCACAGCTGGAGAACCTGCATGGGACCGAACTAAAACCTCTGAAAGTGGGTGACAGATGTGTGACAGGATCTGTTGGGGGGGGGGCTGGCAGTGGCACTAGAACCTATGCAAGAGGAATGAGCTGGTATTTAAGAGAACACTCCCTACAGTGGGATACATCGCTCAACCTTGATACAGGGGGGAGGGGCTTGGTCCTGCCTCAACTTGGTATGCCAGACGTTGTTGACTCCCCCAGTGAAGGCCTTACACTCTCTGAGGAGTGGGTGGGTGTAGGAAGGGTGGGGGTGGGGAAAGGTGAGTGAGGGGAACTGGGTTCGTAAGTAAAATGAAAAATAATTGTTTAAACAAAAAACACCATGAAAATTGCAGGCAAGTGAATCGGACTAGAAAAACGATGGTGGGAAATAGATTTCATGTGTAAAGTCTAGGAAAACATAACAACCAAAGACTTTCTTGAAGGCCCCGATAAAAGGACAAAGGGGGCTTCAG